AAAAAAAAAATTTAAAAGAATTAAAACTAGTCAAAGAAGATGTCACTCTGGATAAGTAGTCTTTTATCCTTTATTAAGTATAATATAACCAACATTAGAAAGATTTCAAAGGCTGATGGATCCATTAAGAAACAAGAGGCTGCCAGGAAAAAGAAACAAAGACCACAAAAATGGAAAACTTTGTAAGTGAGATAAAAGCAGAAAAGGTGTGACTGAAGACAGAATTACTATCACCTAAGTGATTCTCCCAGAATTCAATACAAAATTATTAATTTATAAAGAATAAAAGAAAAGGTATAGGCAGCACGGGGACCTAACATCTGTCCAATATGCGCTCCAGGAGAATAGAGAGAGAACAGAGAAGAGAAAGCAAGGCCAGGCACTGGGTCTCACATCTCTAATCCCAGCATTTGGGATGCCAAGGTGGATCACGAGCCAGGTACATCTGTAGTCCTAGTCCCGGCTATTCAAGAGGCTGAAGTGGGAGGATCATTGCAGCTCAGAAATCTGAGGTTGCAATGAGCTATGAACATGCCACTGCACTCCAGCCTGGGTAACACACCAGACCCTATCTCAAAAAAAAAAAAAAGAAAAAAAAAAGAAAGAAAGAAAGAAAAAAAAGGGAAGGGGAAGAAATACTCAAAGAAGTAACAGAGCAAACCTTCTTGGCTAAGCAAACACTTGAAGGTGGTAAAGTGGATTAGAAACTCTAGCAGTAGTCTTATTATAAAATTGTTAAATCTATACGATAGTATATGGGAGTTTGTACTATTTTCCCTACCTTTCTTTGTGTAGGTTTTAAAAATTTCATTAGAAAAGAAGATTTGGAAAAGAATAAGATAAAATTTTAGAAGGGAAAAATATGGCTATAGAAATAACTCAGCATAACAGAAACTAATGAAGAAGAAATCAATATATACTGAACAAGAGATCTAAAGAAATTATGCAGAGTGCGGTAGAAAAGAGGATGAAAAAACAGGAAAGGGATGCTAAGGGATACAAAGGACAGAGTGATGA